CTTATTACCACAAAACACAGATCAAGCTTGAAATTGGGTGGCATCACTTTTACAGTTTAGGAGTTATGCCCTTTATAAACATAAAAAATGCTGAATTTTTCGTTTCCGTCCTCTCATTTTAGTTTGCCTCAACCAAATGATATGAAACTTATAAACAATGCTTATTGCCTTATAATACAGATCAATTTCGAAATTAGGTGGCGTCACTTTTACCGTTTTGAAGTAAATTAATGTTCCTTTATAAACATAATAATTGCTGAATTTTTCGTTTCCGTTCTCTAACTTTAGTTTGCCTCAATCAAATCATATGAAACTTATACACAATGCGTATTACCTAAAACACGGATCAAGTTCGAAATTGGGTGAGATCAACTGTACAGTTTTGGAGTTATGTCCCTTTATAAACGTTTTTCATTCTCTTACTTTAGTTTGCTTCAACCAAATGTTATCAAACTTATATACAATGCTTATAATATTACCACAAAATACAAATTAAGTTTGAAATTTGGGGGTGTCAATTTTACAGTTTTAGAGTTATTTTTGTTTACAAATGGAAAAATTGCTGAATTTTTCGTTTTTGTTCTCTAACTTAAGTTAGCCTCAACCAAATGTTATGAGACTTATACACAATGTCTTTTACCACAAAACTCAGATCAAGTACAAATTTGGCTAGCGTCACTGTTACAGTTCTTTAGTTATGTCCCTTTATAACTTCATAAATATGATATGCAAGCGGGGGCATAATCTGTGTTCCACGGACACATTCCACGTTTATTTTTTGCCTTTTTTGCCTATTATCTTGAAAACAATAAAAGAGAAAGAGAAACATTTAATTTAATAGATTATCATTTGCACCAGATCTACTTCGTCTAAATCGTTAGCTGATTTTTATTGGAGTTATTGCCCTTTAAAGACTTTTTTTTTGTGTGCGTTTTTGCCTAATATCAAAAATACCATATTATAGCAGGAGGAAACTTTAAAATTCAAAAATTATCAGCAAGACACGATTACAAATAATTGAACATGGTTAAATTCGTTTTACAACCCCTAATTAGAGTAAATACCTTTTAAAGACGATTTGGGGTAACAATCGTCATTTAGTATTAGCATCAATATATCAATATAGAATAAGCGATGTATAGCTACAAGAGTAAATAAACAAGACTTACATAATTGGGATAAGGAAACAAGAAAAATTGCTGTTCTTTGAATTTGTCTCCCTAAGTATTCATTTAAGGGCAAAACGCCTATATGGAGTAAATTGAAAATTTCGAATATGTTGATTTAATGATTAGTCTTGTTGGTAATTTTTGCTATTAAATTGTTCATTTATCAATATAAGTTTCAATAGAAATAAAGATTTGTTATATTACTTTCTATCCATGTATTGCAGTTTCAAGATTAAGAACATAAAAGTAAAACAGGAGGCCCCTGGGAAACGATATTATGATTCAACTGGTATTTTTTCGTGAAATTGATAAAATACTTTGGAAAAAACAGCATTTGTAATTCAAGTAAGAACAGGCGACAAAGTAGCTGGCGATTAACTGAAATGTACATGAGTAAACTCATGTATGTGAATTATCTAAGAAATACAATTACTGTTCTTAAAAGAAATTTGAGAGTCTAATTGGAAGAATGAATTACAACTTTAGTTTCAAAATTTCAGAATTTTTACCTAAAGCACCAATACAAGGATGGTTGCTATTCATTTTCTAATTATATGAGAATGGCTGGTAAAGTTTATGTTGACAATATTGACTCCTTAACTTTTAATTAGGATCTATATCATAGTTTGTATTAATCTGAACCCAACTATGTATGGTTGCTAGGTACTTTTATATCAAGTAAGGGTCGTTGCTACGAACTTAAAACATGACCTTGACCTCTGGCATTTTGCTTTCTTACCAAATAAAAGCAAAATTTGGTCTAAACTCTTTTTCTAAATACTTTTTGTGTTTATTTGTTATAATTTCCTAACAAAATTAAATAAAAAAGACTGAAGGTCAAAGTCAAGGTCATCAATAAGCTTTGACCTTAGGACAATTTTCAGGTCATTGAATGCACAACATGTCCCAAGGGATTTTTATTTTGTATCTGTCACTGTTTTAAAGTATTTTAATAACAATGTCAAAATTCTTTTTTCAAAATACCAAAAATGACACTTTTATGTGTCCATAGCAACCACCCTAGCAACTAATTTCCTAAGCCTTTATTGATACATTATTCCTAGGCAACAGTGATAGTTTACATTTATTATCTTAGTATAATTGGTTGTGGATTCAAAAGTGTAAAATTATGTCATGCAAAATGCCTATAATTTGCCTTCTTGAATACATTGAAAACTCCACTATTTAAATCAGTGCTGTCCCCTTCTTTCCCTTTTGTCAGAAATAATTTTTATCTTTCATCTTACTCATAAAGTGTTATATTTTAATGAACAAAAGTCAAAATATTCATAAAACTTGAAATGTGTGCATGATTACTGCTTAAAATGGGTAATTTTTGTTCGTCAAAATATGCATTTTTGAGGCAAAATCCAAGGGGACCCGTTACCATGGCAACGGGGGCATAAACAAATTTTTTGTCAACATAATTCTTGTTTGTTTATCGATAGCTACCAACAAACCAAATTTCAAGAAAATCTGAGACTATGAGTGCCGCAACTTGGTTGGTGGTTACAGAGAATTGCTATTTTAAAATAAGTTTTCGGCTAGTTAGTTCTTTCCGCCCGGAACTTTCCAACGTCGGAACAAAAGAGCATTCACATTTGCACCTATTCAGCAAAAATAACTGTGGAAATCTTACAAGTTTTCTTTGAGACTAAACAATTTGTATTGTTATGATTTGACATTATACATGTCTTTCAACATCGGTTAATATATTTAAATATACACACATCGTTCAATATGAGAATATATCAACAGATGAAGCATTCCCGGGAAAAAGTAAATCTACGAAAACGTCAGTGTTGTCACTTTGCGAAGTTATCTAATTATCATCTTTTAGCATGGACTATATGTTAGTTATATGTCCTTGGGAAAAGTAAGGAAAGCTATCAATAATTATGCACTTAATGCAGTTTTATTAGGTTTATCATACATTTTCTGTTCAAATTTTCACACAATCAGTGAATCATTCAAAAAGGCTAAACTTACTTTTTATTACTGAAAGTTTCAAACAATGACAAGTGTTTCATTCATGAAATGACTCGTGCGTTTCTGTGAAAAAAATCAAGTGCAATTTTGTGAATTAAAGGGAAAGAAGATCCTTTTGCGGTGCACTCACACATGTCAATTGCGAACTGACCCAATATATTTTCTTTATCATGACCAGTTCACTGATACTGACGTCGACATTATCAAGAAGTACACATCATAGAAAAAAAGCACAAATTACCGATAAAATAATTTACACACCCTGTTTCGTGTGTATCTCCTGCCATATCAATATTTGTTGCATTTATATATAAACGAAAAATAATCAATGTAAAAATGGTAAATTTTTGGAGAAAAAACCCAAAAATTATGGAAAAAACAACCCAAAAATGTTGTTTTGACCACTGACTCCTAAACTGTTGGTACGATATGATAACCCCCAAAATCAATTCTAACCTTCCTTTTGTGTATTGAAGTTGAACCTTCTGGTACAATTTCATACATTGTCATAGAGATCCATTTACTTAAACTAAAGTTATTGTCCGGAAACCAAATGTGTCTTCGGACAACAACAGCGACATGATTGCATTACTCGAAAGCAAATTGTTGACATATTCCCCATTTTCATTCTGAATTTTATTTTGCCGTCGTATAAAAACTTGAAAAGTAAGCTAATAAAACAAAATGCAAAAATGACATAAAACTGACTCTGAATTAGTACATGAAATTGATGTAGAAACCCACAAACAGAAGATGATCAGGAATACATTTATACTGCTGAGCAGTGTTCTCCCCTCAAATTTTAAATAGCATCCTAGAAAATAGTAAAATCTTTAGATTATCAACTTAACAATCCTATTTATGGTTCCTTATGTTTAGATCAAATGAAAAACCTGATCAAAACATTATTCTAAACAGGCTCACTGTATATTCAAACTCTTCTTTTAACATGTTAACAATCAGAATGATCCTCTTGCTGATCACATATATATGAGATACAGGAAACTGGGAATACAATATGAACATCCAGCTAATTTAGAAAGTAAAAATAATTCAACAAAAAGAAAGTGTTGTATGCAATACTATATAAAAAAAAACAGCTACAACTTTTAGATATTGATGAAAAAGATATTCCAAATCCTCCAACTTTTCATGAAAATCAACAAAAAATTAATTTAATAAAGTTATGGATTGTATAACAGTATTCATAGTTTTGAAATTAAACAAATGTCTTATTGTTTTAAATTTTGTAAAATTTGCAAAGATAGAAAAATGGATTTGAATATGGCACAAGATAATGAATTTAAGCATTGTCATTTAGATAAATCAACAATAAATTTATTTTCAGCAGAAAACAATATGGACAAGAAGGGTGCAACCATTTAGCTTCAAAAGGGCGGGGGGTATGGTTTTTTGTTTGAGTTAGATTTTTTTAATGCAAAGGGCTTCAACTCTATTAATCAAAATTATTTGGTCAAAAATTAACACTAGAAGGTATGCAATGGTATGGGGATAATCTGGATTCAGAATATTTTTTTGTCCTCTGCTGGATTAGAATATTCTTTTTTTCATCAATTTGGCAGTTCAATGATTGTTCCCTTAACATTTTCCATCTGAACTTATTATTTTATTTTAGGCAAAAACTATATGTAGGACATTCGTCCTGAACATGCTTGAAATATTTGCCACTGGAGTTAGGCAAACCAACAATCAATCATTCAAGGTAGCGCCTTCCTCATATTAATTTATAGGTTTGGTTCAAAGAAAGATAACTCTATTCGAAAAGTTTACTTTGTATGTTGCCTTTTGACCCCGGAAGCACTAGAGACGCCCTCTATTGGCAGGTCGAATTAATCGCTGGCGATTGTCAATCCGTCAGTCGCCAGGAACCATCTATTTTGCCCTGGAAACTCAAGTTTCATTGCAAAAATGGAGGATTCAAAGAGTAGTGACCAATTATTATGTCCCTGTGGGTTTTACGGGTAAGAATAAAGAAGATCGGTGGGAAATAAACCGATTTTTCTTTCATTAATTGTTCAGACCAGTTCATTTGTTGACAAGTGTTGACGCATCATCGCATGTCAACATCTGTAAATCTTTAGCAGATAACAGCATGATCATTCCCTTTTGCACATACACAGTTGATTCTCATTGTAACGTTTATGTGTAATAAGTCTATGGACTCTGTAAGAGACAATATAAACGTAAAAGTGATTTTAAATTGCAATTTAATATAGATGATTGAGATTAGCTATTTATGAGCATAAGATTACAAATATCCCATGTTGGGGCATGAAGTGACAAGCAAAATGGTTCAGCATGATAAATAATGCTTGGTTTAAGCACCTAAGGATCAATGAATAAGTACATTTGTATTTATGGTCACTTGGACATGTAGGAGGTAGCCAAAAATTTGTAATAGGCTGTTGTCATAAAAGAAAAGTCCTTCATAATATAAGTTCCAAACGGAAGAAATATGCTGTAATATTATTTCCACTGGAACAATATTACAGAATCTGTTCCTAGCGAAATACAAATGTAAAGGGTATAGAATATTTGTTCCAACAGGAACAGATGTTATGGCATTGTTTATCAATGTTTATAACAAAGTTTTGAGGGGAACTTCTGTTGGAAGCAAGTTAACTCGTACCATTGCAAACTTGTACCACGTCAACTCGTACCACTAAAAGTCAACTCGTACCAACGTAAACTGGTACCACTGATAAGTCGTACCATTCAGAACTCGTACCACTGCAAACTCGTACCATTAAAATATATATTCAATATACCAATGTTTTATGATTTTTTTTTTAAATCTTTATAAAAAAAAAGTTGAATTTCTTGAATTTTATACCAGATTTTAATGAAAACTTAGACAAAAATACGAATGTAATTTCTTAATTACCATGTTAATTAATATATTAAATTAAGGCAGTCGAGGCCAACAAACCATTCTACGAACTCCTTGAATTACTACATGCTGAAACTACGAAGGTCCCACTTTAAGTGAAACTGGTTGGTGAGGGCAAGTTAAAAAGGTGCCAACGCAAGAAGGTCCGTGCTGTTCAGGAACAGATATTCACCTTGTGGGAAAAGTACACATCTCCCTCCATCACAACTGCAGACTTCTTAAACAGACTATGTGTTTAAATGGCCCTGCACTAACAACAGAAGGCAACAACTAGTGAACATTATATTATGAGAGAACCGAACATAGACAGTGCTCAGACATTGAGAATTAGTGCTTTAGTGATGCTTTTAATAAGTTGGTACGAGGTTACAATGGTACAAATTTACCGTTGTACGAGTTAGCAGTGGTACGAGTTTGCATTGGTACGAGTTTGTTTTTAGTGGTACGAGTTTGCAATGGTACGAGATAACTATAATTCCTTCTGTTAGGCACAACAAATATATGTTGACAATGTCATTCTCATGAGTTTTTTGTAAGAATGAGGGTAAAAGTATTATGTTAACCTAATGTAGATTCATTTCTCCAGTAAAAAATGGGGGACATGATCACATCTATTACTAGTACATAGATGTCAACTGTTACAATTTTTCCGTAATTGTTCTAAATTTAGGACCAGAATTATGGTTAACGATTAACATTTATTTGTTACGGATATTACTTTATTACCATCATGGAACAGTTCCCTGTTTAGATATCATTTTGATCATCAGGACGCTTCATCTTTGGGTATAATTGTGTAACAATTAGCGGTTGAGTGTTTCTGATTATTGAATTCTTTCCGTTTTTTGTTTTTTCGGGACTATCTATAGTAGAAAGTTATCTATCCATTTCCTGTTCGATTCCAAATAATTAATAAACACAGCAAGTCTTTGTTTTCAATTTTACGTAGTATGCTGGAACAATGGATTTCTGCAGGAAGGAAAGAAAACAAACTCAAACAACAAAATTGGAAACCGGAACATTATCATGATTATGCCTTTTGCAAATATTGTGAACAAGACTTCCAATTCCATTCAGTGCAACGGTTGGTTCCTTACTTGATCATCAACTCTGACAATGCTAGTCAATTAGGATTTGACTCGAGTGCACCTGCCCAGTGCAGGGTTCGAACTCACAAACTCAGTGTTGACTGGCTAGTGATACAGTAGTTCAACTACTTAGACCACTCGTCCACCGAGGCTCCTTGTCATAAATAAGGGAAGTCATTTATATGTCACTGTGTGTCAAATTGTTAGTATGACTTGTATGTAGTGTGTTTATTATTAAATTCTATGAGAAAAAAAATTTATTACTGAAAAAAATCACAAATTACAGAAATTTTAATACTTTTTTACTGATTGCATCAAACATTTGTCAAAAGGGGGATGGCATATAATTTAATTTTTGTTGTTTTATCTATTAACTAGTATTTACTAAAACACAAACAAACAAGACATTCTTTGCAAACAAGTGGTGAAAAATGGTACAACACTGTACATCTTCTGTCTGAAATCAGACAATATACTTTCTGTTTCAATGGTTAAACATGTACCGGTATGTTTAATATTTTTTTGCTTCTTATAGATCAGCAAAGACCATGGGACTTTGTTCAAAATGCTACAAAGGTAAGTTTTACATGCAGATTACTTCTTATTCCTATCAAATTTGTAGTGAGTACATGCAATTAGCTGATTAGTTGATTCAGTGCACATTTACATAATACTCTTGTTACAAATGGAATTTTCAGAATTTGAACAGTAAATCCTTTTGAATAGGTAGATTTTTTGGATGAATGTAATTTAACTTAGGAACTCCAATTTTTATTAAAATTTTTTTTTAATGTACATACATGTACATGTATAAAGTTCACAATTGTTAATGAGTGCCTTTGTGTCTTTCTTGTTCTATACACCTTTAAAAACTGAAACAACACGTTATAAATTTCATAAGTCGGAAGCACCTTTCTGAATTTACCTTCATCTGGAATAATCAAAAATGAATATTTGAAAGCCTAGGATGTATAAGAACCGAAACAGTTCAAGAGCTATATTACCAAAAAGGACCTTAAAAAATAACGAAAACCATCTAAGGTGATATGAGGAAAAATGTATATTTCCAAATTTTTCAAAAGTTTTGCATTCTAGATATTTGAAAATCACATGACTAACTCATTTACAAAAAAAAAGAGGATGCACTAATTTCATTTATATTCTGAGAAAGACACTTTTGCAACATTGACTGCTTGATCTTCTGGTATAACAATAATATTCAAAAATGTTACCATATTCATGTACATGTATGACATACAATACTCCTTTCTGCTCATGTGAATAAGGTTTTTATACGCCTGTCAAATTTTTGACGGGACGTATTATGGTATACAAATGTCCGGCGTCCGTCCGTCTGTCAGTCCGGCGTAAACATGTCGCACCGTAACTTGAGAATGACTTATCCAAATTTCATGAAACTTAATATAGTTGTTTCTTATGATGGTCAAACGATCTGTATATTTTTTGGTGAAAATAAGATTAAAACTTTTTGAGTTACGGGACTTTGTAACTTAAACAGGTGTGTGTTTTTTTTTCACATGTAGCGCCGTATCTCAAAAACAATTTATGATTATTGCTTAAAACTTTACACACTTCTTAGTTATATTAACCTTAAGATCTGTATACTTTTTGGTGATGATTCAAAATTTTATTTTTGAGTTATTGAGTATTTTGTAAAAAAAGGGGGAGGGTTTTTTCACATGTCGCGCCGTATCTCAAAAACGATTTATGATTATTGCTTAAAATTTTACACACTTCTTAGTTATATTAATCTAAAGATCTGTATACTTTTTGGTTTTGATTCAAAATTTTATATTTGAGATATTGATTTTTTTTTTTTAAATGGGGGGTTTTCACATGTCGCGCCGTATCTCAAAAACGATTTATGATTATTGCTTAAAATTTTACACACTTCTTAGTTATATTAATCTAAAGATCTGTATACTTTTTGGCTTTGATTCAAAATTTTATTTTAGAGATATTGAGTTTTTTGTAAAAAAAAAAAGGGGGGTTTTCGCATGTCACGCCGTATGTCAGAAACTATTTATGCTTATTGCATAAAAATTCACACACAAGACGACAGGCGTATCATGCGCTCATGGCGCAGCTGTTTATTATATTATGAAAATAGCATTCACAAACATGCATAGGAATTTAATGTAAAATTCACATGAAAATGTACAATTGAAATTCTGATGGTCTTGAAAAAATATTGCCAAGTGGGAAAATTTTCACATAAAGATCAGAACAAAAGGAAATATATGCCTCACCATGTTCACTTTTATTTTATTTTTAAGGAAAATCCAAAATGCAAACAATAGACATGTGGAAAAAAAACTTACAAAACCAGTTTGACTGTAAAAATCATGAAATTTAGATGATAAATCACTTAATTGACCAATGACTTAAAATACATTTATTACAATTCCTTGTGTCTGAGAACTGGCCTTTAATACATTTCCAGTACGGAAAAAAACGGTCTAATACATAATTTTAACTACTTAACTGATCAAATATAGGTCAAATACAGGATTTTTACTTACGGTTAGAAAATGGAAGTGTGTACGCAAAATGTTAGATTTCAACATGTTTGATGTTAAAGTTATTGTTATTCATATACATTTGTATATGTTGTATTTTTTCTTTGATTATTTACAATTATGGCCTGTAGAAAGAGTGAATATCCAAAATTGTCAACTGTAATAGGTTATATCTCTGAGGGCGCAGTCCGAAGTGAAATTACTTTTTAGGGTAAATAATTTGGGATATTTATTCTTGGTGTCATCATAAAACATTAAAGTAGTCTAAAAAAATCAAGGACTTTTTGTTATCATTTATTCACTGACAGATGTGTAATCTTAACATATGGCTCTATATAGATCACTTGTCAATCAATTCTAGTCAATAGAAACGTATTGTGAAAATTTCATAAAAGTTATTTTACATACACTACGTTCTTTTTTTAATGATACACTTGCAGGGGCATATTTATACTACAAATGTATTTGTACACACAAGATATTTTAGGTAAAACTTGCACTTAGTGATGATTTTACACAGTAAATGATGGTGATTGTTTTGTAAAATATGTCTACATTACATTATTACAAAGGTAATACAGTGTAGATACACCTGATTTAATAGGGAATTGTCAAGACCAGAAAGAATGTTTTTATAAGCCTGTCTAAGATTGGACGTATTATGGTATACCTTTGTCGGTCTGTCAGTCCATCGTCAACCCTTCAGACAATAACTCAAAAAAAAAGCTTTCACCGATTTCTGTTAACATAAGCTCCCTTTCAATTTTTATAAATTTTAAATTTTGAGTTTCTGAGTTATCAGATTTTATTGATAAAAAAAATGAGTGTTTTCCAGTTTTCTGACTATAACTCAAAAATGCTTTGAGCAATTATCATGAAACTTTGGGGAATTGTTTATATATATTGACATAAGATCCTTTTCATTTTTTGAAAATTTTGGAGTATTGGGACTTTATTCATAAAAAAAGGGGGATTTTCCAGTTTTTAGACAATAATTCAAAAACGCTTTGAGCAGTTTTCATGAAACTTTGACTTGTTTATATATATTGAAATAAGCTCCCTTTTGTTTTTTTTTTATAGATTGCTCAAATCTGATATGACATTGCAGCATTATGGAACTTTATTCTATGAAAAATTGTTTAAAATCACATTATTTCTAGTTGATCATATAAAGTCATTTAAAGCATAAAGACGAGCTAAAAGGGTGATGGGCTCATCATGCCCTCATGGGGCAGCTCTTTGTCAAGATTGAAACACCTTGTGTGTACGTACTACATGTAATCTACTTCCAAATATGTTAACATGCAGACGGATATTCCTTTGTTTCAGTCAAGTTTTCTTAAAGAAAAGCATGTACAATTACAAATATGATTGATTATTGTTTACTTAATGTCTTTGGTAATATTGAACTGAAAGAGTGTACATGTGTACATGCATTATAATGTGCAAGTCCTTGGCAAGCTGGTTAATTCTATCTGTTAACTATGACGCAAATTTCCTTGAACAAAGACTGACAGATTGTGTAAACTTTATCAGTATTGGATCATTATATATAATTAATAGGCCACTTCAAATTAATTTGTAGGTGCTCATCCATCTGTCACAAAAGATATGGGTAGACAATGGTAGAGTTTGAGGAATTTATCATGTTTATCTTTTAGATATGGGCAGTACCTCAATCAATATTTTTCAAGTGGTCATGATCAGTACTGATCAATGGAAATCTCTATATATACAAACACCAAACATGAATGAAATGAATCCCTTTTATGCCTGCAAATGTACATTTTTGTGTTAATTGCTTGAAGGTAACATTTTATGGCCTTAACCCTCTTAGAATTTCAGTTGGCCAGTATTGACCTGTTTTAGTCAGTATTGACCACTGGCCCATTCAATACTAGTAAGGTTTTTTGTCAACCTTGTTTAAGTGAAATGTAAAAATTGCTCAATATGAACTTTTTGGGGCCCTTTATAGCTTACTGTTCGGTGTGAGCCAAGGCTCCGTGTTGAAGACCGTACTGTGGATGGAGAGTTGTCTCATTGGCACTCATACCACATCTTCTTATATCTATTTAATATGAATACGTGTATGTTAAATTTTGTTTTCATCTGATTAGTTTTTGCCACTTAATTATTAATAGATAGTATTTATTAAAATAATCCTGTTATTCTCACACATAGACAAGCTGTGACAAACAGAGGCTATATCGCATAATACGACATTTTTACAACCACTATTCATGTATACTCATTGTGCTGATATAGGTGCAGGACAAATTGGGGGAGTAGATACATATATACAAAAGGAAGTTCTTCTGATGAAAAAAATCAGTGTGATCAAATTTGTTGCCTATCCTTTAGCATGTTTAGGATACTGTTGTTTTTGATGAGTATCTAAAAATCATGATGATATGGTCTTACAAAATAAAAATAAGTTCCTTTCACCTGATATACATACTTTATTGAAGTTATTCCTTTTTCAGCACACCTTGAGAAGTCAAAAGATGCAATGAAAAGTACACCAGATCACATGATTCCAACAAGTGGTTTGTATTTTCCTTAATATCCAGCCGTATGCTATTGCAGGATAATATTAAAACAGATTTTAGTCCATTTTCTCACATTGAACAGAAAATACAAATGTAGCTTCTGCATATTCTTATTGATGGAGCCCAAACTGCCTTGAATTAAATTTAAAATGCTATGCCAAAAAAATTGGGTTGAGTGAATCTGCCCGTAAAAATTTACTATCTGTGAACAATATTTATTCAATCAACAGATAAAATCCCAAATCATGAGGCAAAAAAAATTATATGTGTGGTTCCAGTTATGTCCTGTAAAAAAGGGGTACATGTAGGTGGGTAGGCATTTTTTTATTATTATTGATTGTTAAAATCTTGGAAAAAATCTTTTTTTCATCAAGTCACGTTCTGGTTTTATACCAGCCCCCTACTGGAAAGTAGCCTAACTGAAACCACACATATATATTTATTTGGCCTGACAAAGAAATAAGTTTTACTTTTATGCAGAGGCTACCATGAATAACTTCTTCAGTTAAAACTATATTCATTCAGACAAATAAACAAATAAGCCAATTGGCAATTATTATAAAAATTGTATATAAGTATGAATTTATAATTTTATGATGGGAGACTGGTTAGGGTTTAGAATGAACATGAGGTCTTGTTAGCAAACAACCATACAAGACAGTTTTCTAAATAACAAAGACCTATGCCACGGGAAAATAATATGGTAAGCAAAGGTATTTAGAGACCACTCGCTATACTGACACCAGGAAGAGTGACTAGGGTATTGAAATATCGCCACCTGGATTTCCCCAGTCCAGTAGAAAGACCTTTCTTCGAAGGGGGCCTCTTCTTGACTGTCTTTATACACAGTCAAGTCGAATCGGAATGGGGACATTAATTAAATTCATTATCCAGGATTTTGAGAGGGTCACATTCTTTGCATGTAAAACTTCTGATGGTCTTATGTGACTTGTTGCCAAAATTTATGACCGAGTACCCTAGGTTTTCAACAAGAAGGTTACATGAGTCCTGGACTCATGAAAATTAGTTTGGACTCACCATTTTCTAAACAGCTGAGTCCCAAATTGCATCAAGATTTTATGAGCTGAGTTTAAAAATCATTTTTGTAAAGTTAATCTGATTTAACAGTAGTGAATTTTTTAAAACAGAAAACTTAAATAACTAGTTAAGGCCTTGATTATGTTGATATTGATTTTGTCAGAACTGTGGAAATCTTCATGGCCAAAAATGAGTAGTTACATGTATATAATGTGTTGAGAAGGAAATCTCTATCCTGAATATCCCCCAGGGTATAGAAGTTGGACCCAATTCTCCAACTTAGGTTTAAGACCTACATGTACCTCCTGGCAAGGGGAATTTGTATTGCTGCACAGTGTTTGGTATGTAAATAAATACATAGCCAAGGGGAGGTCGAAATGGGAATGTTAAATACAATGCTTCGTGTAGAGAAAGTGACACATTAAAGATTCCCTACACCAACTTTTAGAGAGTTGGTAGGAGGCCTGCTGCAAGGCAAAATTCCCGTCCCTATCCAAAAACCCTGTTTTACCAATAATAGTCCAAATTTCCTGCCCTTCATCAGAACATATGGATCTGTTAGATTTATTGTTAATTTGTTATCAAGGCCTTGCGGTCATAAAACTTTCGAGCATAATTTTCGTACTCAGACTCAGAAATCAACCAATCAAAATCATGGATTTGGTGTTTCGAGCACAAATTTTGTACTCAGAGTACTGAGTAAAGTTTTATGACCGAGAGCCTTGAATATGCATTAAATATTTGCCATTGGACTTCAAACAAAGAACAATCTATCCTTAATTTTTTAGCCATTAGAAATTAACATCAACCAATTAAACAGTATGTCAGTATGATTTAGTGTTGTTCAATGTATTTTGATGCTCATATTGATGTTATGTCAGATATCTCTCTTGCTGAAGGTGAGCGAGTCACTGAAACATAACTCTTTGAATTACCACCATGACAAACATTACTTATGGATGTACAGAGATATATTTCTGAATGAATCGCCTACAATCACCAGCATTCACTGTGAAAATGAATCGACTACAATCACCAGCATTCACTGTGAAAATGAATTGCCTACAATCACCAGCATTCACTGTGAAAATGAATCGCCTACAATCACCAGCATTCACTGTGAAAATTTATCATCCAGAGAGAATTTTAGTCAGATCACCTTGTTTGTGCTGTATTTAGGTATTGGGAAAATTACAACACACTACTGTAGTACAAAAATAAATACTTTTCTATAGATCAGATGTCTGAGATGGATATGATTTCATTTTCAGAGCCAGCTTGTGTTTCAGTCAGTTCCACATTTCCAGAAGCGAGCAGCTCAAAGGAAGATATAAGTGATAAAGTACAATTTAATAATATATGTGGTACTAGTACTAGTACAAATGGGACTGTGATTAACACAAATGATAATAATACAAATGGAAGTGATTCACCTTCACCTAGTACCTCAACTGAAAATGCAGGACCTTCACCAGAAAAGAAAGGGAGTAAAAGGTAATATGAAGTCATGTGACATAGACTTAAATCAGGAGGTTCCAAAAGGGTTATTTCAAACCATACATTAAAGGCTATACAATATCCTGAGTTAGAAAGGCAAAATGTTGACACAACAAAATGGCACTGTGTTGACAAACAGACACAAAAACATAACAAGTTTATGACCCTCAGCTAATTAACATTTACAGCAGATGTTATAAGTTGTGATTACATGTAATCCGCTTATCGCCATCCGATGGGTCACTAATTATATATATATATAATCAATTAATTTATAAACCTCATAATTGACCATTATAATTATTTTTCAAAGTAAAATCGGTCAGTCAGCATTTTAATTTCATTATTTCTCAAACGACCACAATTGGCTGTTTGTTTATCCATAGATGTTTTCGTAGTTTCGTCAATTGAATAAAATTGTTTTCCCCCGGACAGTTTGCATTTTAATTTCAAAATTTCTCAAACGATCACTATTTGCAGCTCGTTTTACATAGTTGCATCATATGGACATAATTTTTGTCACATTATATATAACTTTTCATCAAAATCTTCTGACAATTTCGATTAAAAACTTAAAACTTTATTCGAAACTTTCAAAAATATTTTCACAAGTTAAACAGGTGCTTTCTTTATCATGTATTGCGTATGTGTGAAAGTATTCTTATAAATTGAATAGACACCAAAACGTAAAATACGAAATAATTTAGTATCAATTTAAACGAGAGAGACAAATATATTTCTTATTGAGCAACTTAATTTAAAAAATGATAATTTGCTGCCGTTTTGTTAAACACGAACCAATCGGTAGATGAATCCGGATTCATTCTGAATTATTATCCTCATGTCACTTCCCGTTTGCATTCGTTTAAAAATAAAAAGTATTCTTGATAAATTTAAACTATAGTCATTATAATTGTTCCAAGTTTATAAAAATAAATTCCAAAAATCGATTTGAACGTTTTTACAGGGATAATGATTATGCAGTGAAATAGTCGTTACAATTTCATGTATGCTGTGATTCCTGGTTTTAAAAAAGAGGAACCCAACTTTTGTTGATCAGGAATGTCCCCTGAAAATAACTGAAGTGAATTTGTGAACTAGATTTCCGGATCCTTGTTCTAATCTTCATATTTAAGCATCACATCAGTCAAATCATGCAATAACTGCCTACATTTGTAGCACGCCTATCCTGGTCCTTGAAGGACTTAGGCATATGTATAGCTAGTAATATACGTCCTTGGTCCCTTGCTGTTACCAAAAATAAGGTTGATTTTCATCTCGCGCAAAAGTGACCAAAGCCCTCAGAATCCTAGCTGAAACCCTGCTGTTTACATAATAAAAGACAATGTTCGACATGCCCTTTTTATATGACCGCAAAAAAATTTTGTGGTCGTATATTGGTATCATGTCGTCGTTGATGTTGTCGTCGTCCTCGTCCGAAGACACTTGGTTTCCGGACAATAACTTAAGTATTAGTAAATAGAAATCTATGAAATTTAAACACAAGGTTTATAACCACAAAAGGAAGGTTGGGATTGATTTTGGGGGTTATGGTCCTAACAGTTTAGGAATTAGGGGCCAAAATAAGCATTTTTCTAGTTTTCAGACAATAACTTGTGGAACGGTGTATGGATCTCTCTGAAATTGTACAACAAGTTTCCATACCACAAAGGGATGGTTAGGATTGGCTTTGGGGAGTAATGGCTCAAACCGTTTAGGAATTAGGGGCAAAAAAGGGGGAAGAACAAGGGTTTCCTTGTTAATGGACAATCACTTTTAAGTATAATGTTAAATTTGGATTACCTCCCTTACACTGCTTTAAAATTATGTATAAAGAAATTTTGTATTGTCTTGATAGCTGTCAATTTATTTTTAGAAGTTACTAATAGCAAAAAATTGAATATAAATTCAAATCATATAACCAATTCTAAGTTCTTTGACTACAGTTATTCTGTGTCAGAAACCTATTATGTGTCAAACATTTAATTTCAATCCAAATTCAGACCTGTATCAAGCACGAATATTGTGTCCATTTTTGCCCCAACTGTTCAGGGTTGGACCTCTGCGGTCGTATCCAGCTGCGCTCGGCGAAGCAATTTATTTTTCATGCTTGGCTCCCTGCCCTTTTGAAATCCTAGCTGGAACACTGGTGAAGTACATTACTAATAGCCTTTATATCATATTATAATATAACCCTGCTAGATGTAGCCTTCATACCATTAATTATACATTGCAAAAAGAGTTGAGCACATTTGTGGTACTTACAAACCAGGATATATCTGTCAGGGCACAAAATTTTTGAAGTCTGTTTTGATATTAAACATCTATGAAGTATTGGACACACAAAAATAAAGGGATATATCAAATGTGGAGATGTCAGGTATCCCGTTAATGATACAGCAACCCAAACTAAAGGTGTACATAACCAAATGAGTCAACACTGGGATTGTATATTTCAGTGTCTAATTATTATTTATTTTAGGGATATATCAAATGTTGAAGCAGAATCCACACCTGAATCAACACCAGAAAAACAGAGTCAGAAAGTAAAGAAAAGATGTTTTCAATGTAAATGTAAACTAGAACTGGCACAACGCCAGATTGGAAGATGTAAATGTGGTAAGTATCATTCTTAATAATCACTGGAATGTTTGTGATATTCATAGTTTCATAGTTTCACAGATTATTTTGATTCTCTTTCATATGTATACTTTTAATAAAAGCATTGATGAAACTGACTATTACAAACGATTCTTGATTTAATGAGTTATTTCCCTTTACCAAAATGTCAAGACTTGGGGCTATTTACGACTTTACATATGGTGAAGATACTTGTTTTGTTGATTGTCATATGATGACTCGGTTTTATTGTGTTATTCTGTTGGTGTCTCATTGAAGTATACTCCATATCTTTTTTATGCCCTTGTTCAAGGGCTGTTGTCCCCGGCATTAAGTGTTACCCTTGTACGTACACATGTACGTCCAGAAATTGGTTTCCGTTTTCTAACTTTAGTTTGCTTCAACCAAATGTTATGAAACTTATACACAATGCTTATTACCACAAAACTCAGTTTAACTTTGTATTTAGGTGGTGTCACTTTTATCGTTCTCGAGTTATGCCCCTTTATAACATTATATGATAACGGGGCATCATCTGTGTCCCATGGACACATTCTCCATTTTTTATTTATAATACACTTGGGACACTTCTATCTTAGAGCCAGAAATAGATATTGAAGATAAAAACTTTATTAGAAACTTAAGTAGTCCATGTAGAAACTTGTTACTTCCAAACTGAAAATTTAAGCCCCATCACAGTTGCACTTAAGCATTTGGCTATGTTGCAACCTATTAACTCAGCATTTAGAACTTCCATTGCTTTGTGCATCATTTAAGACTTTTCTGTGTCTATTTTATGTTTATTTTCATTGGTGTTTGCTGCCTCTTAGACATAAAGAGAATAATAAAAAATGAAAATTGTTTATGATGTAGAAGACTAAACTCAAATACAGGTTGGTTTTTTTTTTGTCAGTTAACAAAATTTCAAATGAAAGTGGGGAATACCTCTCACCAAAATTGAAAATAGTTTCAACAGATTGTGTTCTAAAATTAGAATGACAGGATTATTTCTATTTCAGACAATGTATTCTGTGCATTACATAGACTTCCAGAGTTACATAATTGTGATTTTGACCACAAAGAAGATGGCCGACGAGAGGCAAGAGAAAAAATGGTCAAACCAGTCAGACATCTAGGAACGTCGTTCAAACGTCTTGATACTGATACCTGAAAGAGTGCAAAAACCTGTAACAGATGCAACTTGATATGCAAACTGCTTCCAACAAAAAATTGATAAAGACAATAATTTATATTTCACGGAAGTCTGAAACTTACTTCTACCGTTATGCATGCAAATTTGAATTTGAAGTTTTTTTTGGTCTTGTGCACAGCTATTTAACCCATTTTATGTAGAAATGATAATGCTGTGTAATAAAAATAATAAAATGTGCTAGAGGTGTGATTTTTTTTATGGGAACATTTGAAAGAGTAGTAATACACTGGACTATTTATACGATTTTCTTAGTCTGTTGTAGGAAGAACCCAATTGCAATGACCAATGACTGCTAAAAATATTGTTAACTAGGAAATATTCGTGAATTTTATATTTTCATTGTATTCAAGTGAGATCTCACGTGTGTGATAATAAAAGAATTTACACAACAAATGTGAACAAGAACCTAGAAATAAAACAGAGATCATAGCAGCAAATTATAAAAAGAAATTCATGAAAATGTTCTTTACACGGTATGTACGTTTTTAGCATTGAATAGAATCACTGATGTATTTGTTTATTTATATGAACTGATGATGTATTGTGTAATTACATCTATAGTTACCAGTTAATTCATATCAATCACCATACACAGATTATCAGACTCATGTATCTATTTCTGGTGCTATGAATTCTTGTTACTTGATATGCTTCACTTGTGTATACAACCTTTAGTTCACAACAACACTCTTGGTCAAGATTTACATTTTTTTGCCTAAAATAAACACCTTCCAATATAAAACAATCTGCCTATAGAGGAGTCATGTGACAGTTGAGGGAGGGAAAACAGATTCTAAATTGTACATGTCGTACTCCACTTTTTATTTGGTTATTGAATTACACGTTAAACAGCCATTTTCGCTGTATTTTTTGTTTGACTGTTTGGTTGCTTTTAGTAACTAAATGACATTTATTGTCTGAAAATTTATTACACTGCAAGTCAATATAGTGAAATTCACTCCTCAATGTGTCCATACAATTAATGTCAAATTCCCAAATGCTAAATTCAAAAGACAATCATGCTTTTTAGTGCTTTTTTTCGTTGATTTTACAACTCTCTGAGAACTGTTCCAAAAATGAATGTGAAAGGGTTGGGAGGCAATTTTACCAAAATAAAAGGGTAAAACTAAATTGTTTTGGTATTACGTATAACCAAACAAGCTAAAAACACCTTTTGGGATATTTTTTTTATAGTTAATACTAGTATTTAGCATTTATTCATAAACAGTGGGGTATCCAGGAAGTGGGGGAGGGGCTGGGCTCCTAAGAATTATGAGTTCAAGTACCATGTTTTCACAAAAATTATTGCTGTAATTTTACATATGAATTTTTTTTTTTTTTTAAACAAAAGGAGGGGTTCCAAGTGTGCCCCGTCTAATCCGTGTCTGATAGATTTACTCTGATTCATAAAAGCATCAGGTATAAAATCGCATTATTAGATTTTCATTACTAGTTGTTGTGCATCTCAATTCCTTTTAGATTTTCATCCCCTATCTTCACTTATTTCTTACAGTTTTAGAAAATAAAAATTAGTTTCTAAAAGAAAAAAAAGTCAATAAATCTGGGAATTGCTTCCATATATTTTAATGTATGCATAGGTATTCACAGTACATACCTGTTCAATAAAAACATTTGTGTGTGTAAGTTATGCATATACTTCATCAGATAGTATCACTTGTCAGAGCAATATATAAATGTTTTAATATTTTATTGTTCATGTGAAAATATTGTAAAATATATGTCAGAATGAAATGCATACATTTTTACATGTGAATGATTGTATCTGTGAATGTGATGCTTAGAATTTAATTATCATTGACCGGGTATTTTCAAACAACAGAGAAACAAAGCAGTTTTACAATGTGTTGAAAAATAGCATTGAAATTTCAATGTCTGTTTACACGTCAGCATAGTTAACATATAGTAAGATTCAGTGAGTTTCAGTTAACTCAAATGATTGATAGAGGTGTAATCCAGCTCTATGTCACATGACTCAATTAATCTACATCTATTTATCAACAGAGTACAAAAACTTACTGAATATTACACTGAGAACAATTTAGTCCATTTAATCAAGACAATAACCTTTAAAGGTATTTTTGAACTTGTTGTATAGTTACAGCAGTTGGTATCCTTTATTCTCAGAAATATAGTTTGTGTTAAATTTATTTTATGCTAAAACTTACATGCTAATTGGAAAAAAGCTTAAGGTATAAAATATGTTCCAAATTTTGTTAGAGAGTACTATTCAACTATATTTGGTAATTAAAAATCTAGGCTGGGTTTACAACAGTTTTCAACCCTTTTGATAAATTTTTTATCAAAATTCTCTGTAGTTAGAAAAAGAAATATCATATTTTGTCATTTCATCAGTATGTTGAAAATCGGGTATTGTAGATTAGATATATTTTTATTTTTATACGACCGCAAAAAAATTTTGTGGTCGTATATTGGTATGACGTTGGCGTCGTCGTCGTCGTCGTCCGGAGTCGTCGTCCGAATACATATTGGTTTTCGCACTGTAACTTTAGTTTAAGTGAATGGATCTTTTTGAAATTTGACCATAAGGTTAAATACCACAAAAGGAAGGTTGGGATTGATTTTGGGGGTTATGGTACCAACAGTTAAGGAATTAGGGGCCAAAAAGGGGCCAAAAATGAGCATTTTCTAGTTTCCAGACAATAACTGTGGAACGGTGTATGGATCTCTCTGAAATTATACTACAAGTTTCCATACCACAAAGGGATGGTTAGGATTTGCTTTGGGGGGTTATGGCTCAAACCGTTTAGGAATTAGGGGCAAAAAAGGGGGAAAAACAAGGTTGTCCTGGTTAATGGACAAATACTTTAGTACAAAACATAATTTAAAGCAGTGTAAGGGAGATAAATCAAATACATCATTGAAATTATCTCCCTTACACTGCTTTTAAATTATGTATAAAGTAATGGTTAATGAACAATAAAGATAATCTAAAACAGTGTAAGGGAGGTAATCCAAATACAACGTTTTGGTTACTTCCCTTACACTGCTTTTAAATTATGTTTAAAGAAATGCATATTTATAAAGGAAGACCAGTAAAAATATCTGCAAATGTTTCATCTTTTTTTTTACAAAAAAATCCATATGAAAGATTTGACACTATATTTTTATTAATTCTATTATAAAATAGATTAAGTTAGCACTATGGTAAATTTAAATGGGTAATTATGGTTGCCAACTCCATTGGAAATTTGAATTGAGATTATGACCATATCTTGAGGGAAAGAATTTTTTTTGGGGAAAAAGGGGGGGGGATAAAAAGAAATTGTGGGGGGCCAATTTTTTCTCATTTCAGATTTCAGAAATTAAAAAGAATTATTCTTCAAATATTATTTTTTTTTCAAATTTCAAATATTGAAAAATTTCAAGAAGTAATCTTTAATTGCACAGTATGGCGCATTAGATTTGTAAAATCTTTGATCACATTTATTTATTTGTTATGCCGAATCTAACAGTGTATTTAGATTTTTAATTTTGGGTCCAGTTTTCAAATTGGTCTACATTAATGTCCAAAGGGTCCAAAATTAAACTTTGTTTGATTTTAGCAAAAATTGAATATATGAGGTTCTTTGATATGCTGAATCTAAACATGTATTTAGATTTTTGATTTTTGGCCCAGTTTTCAAGTTGGTCCAAATTGGGGTCCAAAATTAAACTTTGTTTGATTTCAACAAAAATTGAATATATGGGGTTCTTTGATATGCTGAATCTAACCATGTATTTAGATTTTTTATTTGTGGACCCCGTTATCTAATTGGTTCATATTGAGGTCAAAAGGGTCCAAAATTAAACTTTGTTTGATTTCATCTAAAATTGAATGATTGGGGTTCTTTGATATTCCAAATCTAACCGTGTATTTAGGTTTTTAATTTTGGGTCCTGTTTTTTAAATTGGTCTACATTGAGGTCCAAAGGGTCCAAATTAAACTTAGTTTGATTTTAACAAAAATTGAATTCTTGGGGTTCTTTGATTTGCTGAATCTAAACATGTGTTTAGATTTTTGATTATGGGCCCAGTTTTCAAGTTGGTCCAAGATAGGTTCCAGTATTTAAACTTTGTTTGATTTCAACAAAAATTGAATATATGGGGTTCTTTGATATGCTGAATCTAAACACGTATTTAGATTTTTGATTATGGGCCCAGTTTTCAAGTTGGTCCAAATTGGGGTCCAAAATTAAACTTTGTTTGATTTCAACAAAAATTGAATATATGAGGTTCTTTGATATGCTGAATCTAACCATGTATTTAGATTTTTTATTTGTAGGCCCCGCTATCAAATTGGTTCATATTGAGGTCAAAAGGGTCCAAAATTAAACTTTGTTTGATTTCATCGAAAATTGAATTATTGGGGTTCTTTGATATGCCAAATCTAACCGTGTTTTTAGATTTTTAATTTGGGTCCCGTTTTTTAAATTGGTCTTCATTGAGGTCCAAAGGGTCCAAAATTAAACTTAGTTTGATTTTAACAAAAATTGAATTCTTGGGGTTCTTTGATATGCTGAATCTAAACATGTGTTTAGATTTTTGATTATGGGCCCAGTTTTCAAGTTAGTCCAAGTTGGGGTCCAAAATTAAATTTTTTTTGATTTCAACAAAAATTGAATATATGGGGTTCTTTGATATGCTGAATCTAACCATGAACTTAGATTTTTTATTTGTGGGCCCCGCTATCAAATTGGTTCATATTGAGGTCAAAAGGGTCCAAAATTAAACTTTGTTTGATTTCATCAAAAATTGAATTATTGGGGTTTTTTGATATTCCAAATCTAACCGTGTATTTAGATTTTTAATTTTAAGTCCCGTTTTTTAAATTGGTCTACATTAAGGTCCAAAGGGTCCAATATTAAACTTTGTTTGATTTTAACAAAAATTGAATTCTTGGGGTTCTTTGATATGCTGAATCTAACCATGTATTTTGATTTTGGACATTGGACCATAATAGGTAAATTAAAAAAATTCCAGTTCTTAGACCACATTCTTTCTGTGTCAGAAACCTATGCTGTGTCAAATATTTAATAACAATCCAAATTCAGAGCTGTATCAAGCTTGAATGTTGTGTCCATACTTGCCCCAACTGTTCAGGGTTCGACCTCTGCGGTCGTATCAAGCTGCGCCCCAGCGAAGCATTTTATGTATGCTTGTTACTCATTTATTTAACTAGAATGTAGTTAGTAAAGAAAAATACAAGAAACAGGAAGATTTTAAAACAATTATTCCTTGCATTGTAAACTGATAAGTGCACGACAATTTTCTTGCGAACTGTCAGTACAATTTGAGTTTATCTAAGGCTGTTTAAATAGCGGAATGTATTGAAGAAACCTACAGGGGTTTTATTTGTACAGTTTCAGTTTCAATAGTGCTAGGTAAAAACTTGTTATATGTCAAAATAGATACTGTAAACTTGTTTGGTTATACATGTATTCTTCAGAAGAAAAGATCTTTTCAAAGTTATATATACATTTTTGACCTCATTTACCAGTAGTTAAAAAAAGTCTGTATGTACTGGTAATCAAAGTCTCAAGCAAAATGGCAGAATCTATCTTACAAGAGACCAGGAATAATCAAGACTTTTACCATCCGATCATAAGTTCCCATGAATGACAATTATCATTAAATCTTTTGTTTACCTTTACAAATTTCAGCAAATATTTCATCTGAAAAAATGTGTAGTTTTTTAACTGGAAAAGCTGAACTTATATCATAACCTATACTGTAGTTATTTCTGATAGTCATTTTCAAGTTCCTGACGTTTAAAATCTATCTTAAGGAGATTAAGAGCAAGGGCTTACACTTACTTAATTTGTATTATGGCTCTTCCAGAAATAATTGCTTAGGAGGGGGAGGCACTCAAATGGAAATTTAATGTTAGGTGATTGTTTTTGAAGATTATATAAACAAAGATAAAAAGCAAGTATTTTTTTACCGATAGAGTATGAAAGGGAGAAGTGCCATCTGATCCCACACCAATTTATTTCTTGAACAGCCTGTGTCTTTTACATAATTTTTAGGGTAGAAAAAAGCTGAAGAATATTACAGCACCTATTTGTTGAGTTTGTGATATTTTATACAAAAGAGTACTAACATATCTATATATATTTATTTGTCATTTTTCGCATGTATGTTTGAGTTTTTATTTTAGTTTTTGCATGTTTATGTTTCCATTTGTATAGTTCCGAGTACCAGTATCATAGAATTATAACATGTAATACCATATACCTCTGATGTAAACATTGCCCATCATCTGTTACATTGTTTTCATAAAATGTCAGCAGATAAAATTTTTAAAAACTAAGATTGCAGGTTAATCCATG